ACTTTCTGACTTGCAGAGGTTCTGGGGAGCTGGGAGGGTGGAGGTGGAGGCTCTCCCCATGGCCGTACTAACTAAACAGCAGAATTACAATCACTGCAGGAATTCCGAGTTATGTCAACTCCACAGTTAAAGGGGGTGTTTTAACGTTCAAAGCCATTTCAGGAAATCAGGTATAATTCACGCTGCCACTGGTTCCCACGGTGAATTATCTGCCCTGAGAGGGGTGATCGGTCCAGATTGTTAACTTGCAGAGGGAAGAAGTGTCAGAGAACAGCGGAAGCACACGGAATCCCCACCCAGCACCATTCCTCTCTGCTCGCCGGGAGGGACCAGGTCCGGGGCCTGCAGGGCGGGGCCGCTGGAGGATCCCGCAGGTCGGACAAAGGAGAGGCACAAGGGAAAGGGCCTCATGAGACCACGCGGCTCTGCTCAGGGCTGGGTGTCTGCTGTGCCAGCGTCTTCCTCCCAAGTCCCTGAGCTCCGAGTCTCCTCCCACCGGACACGGGGGTCACCCCCATAAGGCTCCCTGCGTGAGGTGCCCGGTCGCAAGCCCTGCCTCACCGTCCACTGCCCCTCCCCCAGGACGCGCACTGTGCTCTCAGCGTGGGCTGCAGAGCGAGGGGTAGTTCTTTTTTTAAAATATGTTCTTATTGATTTTAGAGAGAGAAGAAGGGACGAGAGAGATGAGAACATCCATGAGAGAGAAACATCAACTGGCTGCCGCCTGCACGCCCCGCACTGGGCGTCGAGCCTACAACCCGGGCATGTGCTCTGACCGGGAATCGAACAGGTGACCTCTCAGTGCATGGGAAGACGCTCAACCACTGAGCCACACCGGCCAGGCGCAGGGTAGACTCTTGATAGGTGTTTGTTGAATGAATGGGTGTGGAATCCCGTCCGTGAGGCCCACCAGCTGCCGTGTCCGCCTCCCCAAGCCAGCCCCTCACTGGAGAGGCCCTGCCTCAGGATGCATCACCTTTCTTTCCTGGTTAGTCATTCAGGGCCATTCTTCCTGCCCGCCTCTGTGGCTTCCAGGGCGGGGACACCTGTCCTTCTTGGCACGTGGGCAGGCTTTGGGCCTCCCTTGGGGGGACCCCACTGCGCTGTCATTGCCCAGGTGGGTCTGCCGGCCATGCCAGGCTGTGGAGCCCTGAAGCCCAGGGTCTCTGCCCTGTGTCTGCAGCCCTGGCTCGGGGCCTAAGGATCATCCAGGGACCAGAGAGGGCACTCCAGGGTGTGCGTTCAAATTGAGGTTTGAAATATGAGAAGATGGGAGAGACGTTCTGAGCAAAAGGACTGAAAGGCCCCAAGTGAAGCTGAGATGGGAGTTCATGGAGGAAGGACAGTCTGGGTGGTAGGTGTGGGGGGGGGGGGGAAAGAAAGGGACCCCCTGGCATCGCCCTGTGCACAGAAAGGTTGCTGGTTCTATTCCCGGTCAGGGCACATGCCTGGGGTGCAGGTTCAATCGCCTGTCGGGGCACGTAAGGAAGGCAATTGATCGATGTTTCTCTCTCACATGGATGTTTCCCTCCTTCTCTCTCTCTCTCTCTCTCCCCCAACCCCTTCTCTAAGCATGTACTAGTACTTGGGTGAGGATTAAAAATTAATTTTAAAAACCACACTGGAAAAATCAAATCAATTAACTAAAGAAAATTAAAAACAGCCCTGGCCGGTGTGGCTCAGTTGGTTGGGTGTCGTCCTGTGCACCCAGAGGTCACCGGTTCAGTGCCTGGTCAGGACACAAGCCCAGGTTCCGGGCTCCATCCACGGTAGGGAGGCCGCTAATCAATGTTTCACTCTCACATCAGTGATTCTCTTTCTCTCTCCCTTCTCCTCCTTCTAAAAATCAAGGAATGATTCTTTAAAAGAAAAAAAGAATGCAAGAAAGAAAACACGTGGGGGCGTAAGAAGGAGGCCTCAGGTTGGTAGACATGTAAAACAGTGGAGATATTCTCCAGGAGCCTCCAGGCCCGACAATGAGGGAGCAGAAACATAGGTCTCCTCACCCCTAAGGAATTCTCCGGAGGGCTGTCCCCTGGGGAAATTCAGGAGGAGAAATAAAATTAAAAAATGAAGGAAGACATCAGCCACAGGGTTCATCATTGCGTCGTCCGGAAGCTGCGGGAGATGCCATCTTTATGTGCCGCGTTTACAGACTGTGCCTTTAATAGCCAAAGAAAACTCATGCGATCGGAAATGGAGCCTACTACACAACCCTGCATCTGGGCCTCCCAAAATAAGGCATGAAACACAGAACTCAAAAAGCTGACGAAACCTAACCCGTATGTAAAGCACCGCGGTTAGCAACCCCTCTGAAGGGACACTTTTAAAAAAGCAAAATCGGCTTTTCACAGTCACAGTCGGGGTCCAGCCCGAGCTCATCTTCGC